CCCCCCCCTCCTCCTCATCCTCCTCCTCCTCCTCTCCTCCTCCCCCTCCTCCTCCTCCTCCTCTCTCCTCCTCCTCCTCCTCCTCCTCCTCCTCCTCCTCCTCCTCCTCCTCCTCCTCCTCCTCCTCTCCTCCTCCTCCTCCTCCTCCTCCTCCTCCTCCTCCTCCTCCTCCTCCTCCTCCTCCTCCTCCTCCTCCTCCTCCTCCTCCTCACTCCTCCTCCTCCTCCTCTCCTCCTCCTCCTCCCTCCTCCTCCCTCCCTCCTCCTCTCCCTCCTCCTCCTCCTCCTCCTCCTCCTCCCCTCCTCCTCCTCCTCCTCCTCCCCCTCTCTCTCGTCCTCCTCCTCCTCCTCTCCTCCTCCTCCTCCTCCTCCTCCTCCTCCTCCTCCTCCCCTCGTACGCTTCCTCGCCTACTCATTTTTCCTTGCCCCACCCTCAACTGTTTTTTTCGATATCTACTCCCAAAGGGGGGGGGGCGCACGGTTAGGCGGTCCTCTCAGTCGCCCAGGTCGATAAATTCCACCAACTTCGTGACGCTCAAACGCCCTGTCATCTCCTCGACAAGTATGAGGGAGCAATCTTTTAGCAAGAGGAAGGAAGGAAAAGGAAAAGCAGGTGGGGAACCTACTGGTAAGGAGAAAAGGGAATGGCACGGGTAACATGGGGAGGGAGGGCAAGAGGAACCAAAAACAATTACGAGGAGCACGCTGTCATCATAACAGCGTCCCCGAGAGTCTCTTGCGCAGCGCACCAACAGAGTGGAAGCGGGAGACGAAGACCAAAAGGACCGCAACGAAGAGGCACCAGGATAAGAAAAATGAATACAGCGGTTGGGAATGCCAGGATGAAGAAGAGGCGCATGCGAATGGCGAGCGAACCGCGAACCATCTCCACCGTCCCTCCCCCGTCCCTCCCCCATCCCTACCCCATCCTTCCCCCGCCCACCCCCACCACATCCCTCCCTCCTCCTTCACCTCCTCCCCCTCCTCCTCCTCGTCTTCCTCCTCCTCGCGCACTATCACGCGTTCTCTCTTTCTCTTTCCCTCTCTCTCTCTCTCTCTCTTTCTCTCTCTCTCTCTCTCTCTCTCTCTCTCATTCTCTGTATCGTTTGTTATGTTTCTCCGTATATTTTGTGTTATATATATATATATATATATATGTCCCTCTGCTTCTCTTTCTCTCTCGTTGTCTCTCTTGTTCTCTTGCTTCGTCTTTATGTATATGTATATATATATATATATACATATATATATATATATCATTGTCTCTCTGTCTCTCTCTCTCTCTCTCTCTCTCTCTCTCCTGGTATTTCTTTCTCTCTCTCTCTCTCTCTCTCTCTCTCTCTCTATATCTCTTTTCTGTCTCTCTCTCTCTCTCTCTCTCGGCAGTGAACTCATCCCGGCGTGGCCATTCCCCCCCCCTTGGGCCCGTCAGCGATTAAAGGGGTTCCTCCTCATCCTCTGCCCCTCCTCCACCTTCTCCAACTCCACATCCCCCCCCCGCCCCCACCTCCATATCCACCTCCCCCTCCTTTTCCTCATCCTCTTCCCTCATGTAAATACTGATCACAAGACCACTCCCACCAAGCACTTGATGCAAGCACGCGATAAGAGAAAAATCAATGCATCGCCGTACTCAAAGCTGTCGCGAGTAGGTGCGTTCACCCCCCCGCCCAGCTCGTGAGTCACAACAGGCATGGGCGGAAGGAGCAGATAATTCAGTATAACTCTAAAGATCACAGCATCGCCTACCTGATTTTCACACAGGGAAAATACACGTTGCTAAAAAATGCGCAGGAAATTCTGAAGCAAGCCACCAGAATAGTCATGAATATGCTTGCCGGTTCGACCGGCCAAAAGCCGCCCGCACACCGAACAACAACTATCAACATACCAAATCAAAGATTGAGCAACCGATGTCAAGATACCAAATTAAATACTCAGCAACAAATATCAAAATATCCTCAGCACCAAATTTCAATAGATAAATCAGATCCCGATGCAAACATCATCCCTTAACTTGAGAGGGTGCACTCATCATCTGGTCACGTGAGAGCGTGCACACACACTCTACTTAGATCTCACATTCTTCCTCGCGTAGCCTCCTGGAAATACTTTCGTCGAACAGTCCGCTCGCATCTGCTCGCTCTTGACCCACTCGATGCTGACCTCCTTTATTGACTGAGTAGAATAGCCGCCCCCAGGGCAAGCCTCCAATCTGTCATAGATACCTTCTCCTTTGTGGTCGTGTCATACAGGCTCATGCAGTCGGTCACCGACATGCATTCTACCAGGCAGGTGTCACGCACGATCTCGGCCACATCCATCTCTGGGCACAGGATCTCCGCCAGGGTTGACCTTGCCCAAACCAATCTATCCACGGAATCTGCACACGAGTACGCCTCCGCCGATAGAGTAGATCGCACCAGCCGTTGAATCTTCGAAGACTGCCACCAAACGCAATGCACCTTGTACTTGCTGCCGTGGTCCTCATTGATCTTCTCGTCACCCAGCGTGGTGAAGTGTCCTCGCTGCGATCTGTGCTTCGGCAGGTTGTCGAAAGCACTGTCGGTCACGTTGGTCACCATGGCCTTCCACAAGATCAGACCAGCTGAAAACTTGATCAGTAAGTCGTCCTGCTCCTGGGTTCTTCTGATAGCTGCATCCCCATCCGGTAGGTCCCTCACCGCCGGAGCCCCCGGCGCCGATGCTAATCGGGATGCCCCGAACGCCTTTTCGAAGCAAATCATTCGCGCAGCCCACAGCAGTTGCCCAACCACCATTCGTTGTCCTCGATGCTCTGCAGGGGTAAGTGCACTGCCAGGCGCTGGGCTGCGCCCCCTGGAGACACGCACAGTCTGCATAGACTTCACATAGGCCTCCATGTTGACGTGGATGCTGCCGCCCTTGCCCTGCTGATAGGCCCGGCCACAGAACGTCGTTATCTCCTGCCTCGCGTACTTGACCTCGCCAAAGTCAATATCCTTCTGAAGGCCCTTCATGATCTTGGCGCCCCAAGGGTCGCCCAGCCTGATGGCCCGGATGAAGTCGTCCACGCGTGAGCACATGACCCCGACGATCGCGTTCTCCTTGTTGCGCTTGATGAAGGTCGCGGGCTGGAAACTCAGGCCTGCCCATACAAGCTTCACGAGCGTCTCGCGCAGCGCCACGTTCCAAGCTCTCGCCGCATCATTGGCCCCGTAGATGCTCTTGTCATGCTTCAGCAGGCCACCTACCTTAACACCTGGGATGGTACACTTCCCAAGGTTAGTCGGGGTCCGAAAGTAGAGCTCGCGCGCAATCGCCCTGCCATGCAGAAGGACCCCATTTACATCCGCAACGACTAGGTCCAAGTTGAGGCCCGATACAACGCAGCACAGAAGTAGCGTCATCTGTGCTGAGACTTTAGGAGAGTCTCGACGTAGCTTGTCGTCGAGACCCCCCTCGTAGCCCCATCCACAAATTCTCGCCTTCGGCTCAAAGGTCGCAGGGCCCATGCCCGCCCAGACCACCTTGGAGCTTGAGATCTTCGCTGGGTCTATCTTCTCAACCGCTGCTCCTGACATGTGGGTTGCTGCATCGTACTTGCACCAGGTATTCCACTTCTTCTCCACTGCACCCTGCATCTCCTTCCACTTGAGCTTGTCGTCGCCCAGCGCCTCCAGGTGAATGTCCTGATGCGCGTTAGCCCTTGTCTCAGGGGGACGCAAGACCTGGGCACAGGGGACTCGGAAATCCCCGACGAGGTCGCCAAAAAAACGACGAGGCCGAGCCTGCATTTTGACGAGGCCCCCCGCTGCAGACATCCCACGAAACTCCCCCTCGTCAAAATCCGAGGCGCGGTCGTCAAAAAACGGTGGCGAATCCGAGTCCCGGCAAACCCGGGTCTTACGCTCCCCCGGTCGTCGGCAGGGCGCGCATCCGCTCGGCCGCGAATGGTTCGACCAGGAGTGGCATCTCCGCCAGCTGAACGACTGGGCCCGCCTGCCCCTTCGCACGCTTGATGCCGATGGGCACGTCGTCCAGCAGGAACTCCTTAAGCGTCACGGGATGTCCCTGGCGCTTGATACCCTGATGCTGCTCCGGCTGTCTCGCGCTCGATGTTGTCGCCCCTGGTTGACATTCCGTTGCCGCTGTCGGCGCTGATGCCGTCTTCTGCTGTCTTGCGTTCTTCCATGTGCCTCTGGATTCTGGCAAGTACTTGGAGCTGAGCTCGGTCGTCGTGAGCATCGTCCTTCTTGGTCTGCTTGAGCTCCAGGCCCTTCTTGACCGAGTGCTTCTTACCGCCACGTTTCACCGCCTTGGGCTGCTCCAGCCGCACCCCTTATCTCGCCAGCGTTGCCGCCACTTGGAGGTCCAGGCCGTGAGGCTGCAGGTTGTTGGACACATCCCGGTCCATCTTCAATTCCTTCTTCCTCCATCGATGTGATCTCTTCAAAGACCGCGCTCGGTTGCTGTGCCACCACATCGTCGATAATCTGAGGGTTCGCTTGCCAGTCCACACTCGAGATGTCCTGAACCTGGTCGCGCGTGTCCAGATTGAACAGCCGCCTCCTCTCGATCTGATGACCTGGCGCTGGTTCGGGTAGTAGAAGTGCACTACTGATGTTGTTCAGCTGCCTCAGGTCGGTCTTGCCCTTGCTGCTGGATGCCACTGGTCCGAAGATGGTGCCCCAGGTTTGGTGTGCTCGACGTAGTCGCGCTCGAAAACCCTCCTCTGTTTGGTCTTGACCAGCTGGTACTGGTTCGTACTCATCGTCCAGCCTCTGCCGCACCGGCATCACGTCATCGTCGCGCACCAAATCCGACCGTCTCTTCCTGCTGTCCGACTGCTTCGAGTCGCTGGCGCTGCTCCGGGCGTGTCTGGTTGCCCTTGCACTGGTTGCCGTTGTGGAGCTTCTTGCTGCCCAGGCAGCTGCCGATGATCATATTGCTGTCGCTCTGGAGGCTGATGATCTTGATGTTGATCTGGCTGTTGATCAGGTGGTTGATCTGGCTGCTGAGCGTTTCGTGCAGGATTATATGGTTTCCCTTCGAAGGTCTACATAGCCTCTCTGTCAAGCTCCAAATCGCGCTGGCCCGCCGTCTGAGCACAGGTCGGTGAACTGCATGGTTTTCACCTCGTGCTCAGTCGCCTCCCGTAGAAAACTTGGTGAGCTCAGAATCGGGATCCGATTTTGAATCAGCCAGTACCCACGCTCGTCCTTGCCCAGGCACAGGGCCGGCCCATGCCGCCGAGCATGTAGGACCCTCTCTAGATTGTCCGATCGCCAGAACATCAGTAGATCACCTTGCTGGAAGGGCCCTGGCCGGGGCCTTGTCCTTGCCAGCACTGCCCGCTTCAACGAAGATGAGTTAGCTGCCTTAAAAAGGACCCCAAGCGCATCTGATGAAGGCGTCGTCGATTACAGAACGATGTTCTTTCAGCTACCCTGAGGACTACTGCTGGGTCATTGTCGGGATTCGCCAAACGTGCAGCTAGTCGATGTCGCGCTCCCAGTACCCACTGCTGCGGTGAAAAGCCCGCTGGGCTAACTCGTCGGTTGCACGCGTCGGCCACGCCTCGCACTGCAGCTGCAACTGAATCCTGACCACGGATCTCTCCAGCATGGAAGACACTCGTCGCCATCTCTTCCAGGTACCGCATCTCCCTCTCGACCCTGTCCACTTGCCAGTGAGCTGCTGGCGCGGCGCTGTTGATCACCAGGCCAAGGTCGTTACACAGCGTCTCGAACTCGCCCATGAAGGTAGAGTCCTGGCCCTACTCAAATTCAGTACTGCAGGTCCGTGCCGTGTCGACCCTGGCGTTGGTTCCTGACACCGCGCTGGATCGTTCAACCTTGAACGATCGGCCGTCACCGCAACGTCCGATCGTTCAACATCGACCGATTCTGGGCCGCCGTCGGCGTTCAACGTTGAATGTCGGCGGCGGGGTCGCCGCCGGTCGACACGACGCGAACCTACCGTAACCGCCACATCCACACGGCTGCATGTCCTGTGTTCTTCCGTGGAGCAGGTCGTCTCCCGCACGGGGTGCCCCGTGAGCGCCTCAAAGTTCAGGACGTCCTGTCGTCGCCAATGCTTGCGCGTCCAGACCAGAGGTCTGGTCTTTCCTCTCGCAATGTTCAGAAAAAAAAACAAAAAATCGCAGCCACGTCTGCAAAACATCTCAAAAACATCTCGAACTCGAACGGCTTCATCAGCCTCATCGAAAAGCGTTCCTTTCCGAGCTCTGGCTGGATTGCTACTCTTCGCACTACCAAGTCGCCCTGTCGCCAAGGCTTCACGGATCTGGATAATCCACCGTTGTTTGGCTGAGCCCTTCCGCAATAAGCACGCCGCGGAAGCGTAAATATGTGTTCGTGCTGGGTCCGTCGCCAACGTTCGAAGCTGGCGCAACATCTCCAGCCTTTCAAAGTATCGCTGCATCTCCTGTGAAGCCAGCGTTCTGCGCGACCTCCTCTTGCGCGTCCCTCCTGCTGCCTCCGCCGCCGCCGATAAAACCTCAGCTATCTGAATCAACGCGTATCTACGATTACCCTCTTCGTCAATCCCGGAATAATCAACAACTGCCCCCTCTTCCCATTCGGTCGCAGCAACTGGACCCAGGTCATACACGAAATGCTGCGTCGCCCCCCTCGCGAAAATAAGCGTGTAGCAGCCCCAGAACAGCCATGCTGCCGAGGCACCTCTCCAAGCACTTCCAAAGCCCAGGCGATGTCAATGATGGATTGCTTCTCCCGCTCGTCCATAGCTCTCCCATTCATGAGATCCTCCAAAGCGTTCGCACTCAGCATCTTTACACATGCTGCCAACCCATGCACCCCCTCGTAGACGAGCTCGCTGACGAAAGACGTGTGGACCGGCATCCGCACAGACTGTTGAAGCTGATTAACAGAAAAGTGTCGGCTCCCTGGTTGGCCAAAGCGTCCGCCTGGGTGTTGCCCCCCTGCCCGCGCTGCCCTTTGAACCCATGCAGGACCAACTTGAAAATCAGATCCCAGTTGACGCCACGCTCTTTGGACCAACGTAGAAATAATCACGTTCGACTAGGGCTGAAACCGCATCAGGATAATCCGAATGACATGACATGAGAAGAAACGAACAAGACCTGTACCGGCGCACCTTTGGGAATACCAGGGTCGTCCCAGGTAAGCTGATCAAGCAACCATGCACATGCATCAAGTGCACTCCCCAAACAAAGAAACTCCAGGAACGAGGGCAAAGCCCGCAACGACGACGACGACGACGACGACGACGACGACGACGACAGACGACGACGACGGACGACGACGGACGACGGACGACGGACGACGACGGACGACGGACGACGGACGACGGACGACGGACGACGGACGACGGACGACGACCACGACGACGATCACGACGACGGACGCGGGCCCTCCTCGTCCAGCGAGGCGCGCAGCCCCACGGCGTCGTCGTCGGACAGGGCGGTGCTGGGCACCCGCAGCACGCGCCGGAAGAGCCGCAGCAGGTCCTCGTCCTGCGCTGCCAAGGGCACCGGGGCCCTCGGCTGCGCCGAAGAGGCGATGGGCAGCGACACGGTCGGGCTGCTGTCCTTCTCCTCCTCCTCCTCCTCCTCCTCCTCCTCCTCTGACTCCTCCTCCTCCTCCTCCTCCTCTGACTCCTCTGACTCCTCTGACTCCTCTGACTCCTCTGACTCCCACTCCTCCTCCTCCTCCTCCTCCTCCTCCTCCTCCTCCTCCTCCTCCTCCTCTTCCTCCTCTTCGTCCTCCTCCTCGGACTCCTCCTCTGACTCCTTCTCTGACTCCTCCTCCTCCTCCCCTCCCTCCTCCTCCTCCTCCTCTGATCCTCCTCTGACTCCTCCTCTGACTCCCATCTCCTCCCCATCCACCTCCTCCTCCTCCGCCTCCTCCTCCTCCTCCGTCTACTCCACCTCCTCCGCCTTCATCTCCTCCTCCTCCTCCACCTCCTCCCCCGCCTCCCCCTGCTCCTCCTCTTTCTCCTCCTCCGCCTCCTCCTCCCTCCACCGCCCGCCCCATGTCCCGAGCTCATGGCAGTGTCATCAGCTCGTCGATATCGTTGCCGTCGTGGTCGTGGTCGTGGGCGTGGTCGTGGGCGAGGTCGTCGTCATGGTCGTCGTCGTCGTCGTCGTCGTTCTTCTGGGCGGCGTCACGGGCCGTAAGGCCTTCACGATAGGGAGCGAAGCCCCCCGTTTTGGCCTCAGTCGCCTGCCTGCACCAGGAGGGCCAGAGGAAGAGCCATGGACGGACCCAAGGAGCATCGAGCACCTTTCGAATCCAAGCCAGCCTTCCGAGAAGGTTCCCGAGCCCTCCCCAAGACACAGAAAACCTCCCAGAAGGCGCGAGGGCCCCCGAGAAGCCCCGCCGCCTTCTGAGAGAAGGCCGTCTCCTTCTTGGCTACACGCAAGACTGACCCCAAGCAAGAGTAACCTGTGGTGCGCGGGGACCAAGGGGGAGCAAGTTGGCCGAACCTAAGCGCGCAAGCAGCCGCTGTCGCATCGCGCTCAGCGATCGAGGGGCCCCCGATGAGCCCGCACCAAGGGTCACTCCGGCGAAGGGTCAATCTTGCGTGTAGTCGATCCTTCTCGCTTCCCCCCCTCGCTCGCAGCCGACTGTTGCAGCGTCTTGGCCGTAGGGGGGGAGGGGTCACCGCCTGGAGGCCAGCACACACGCACACGCGGCCGCCGGCCCCGCCGCACCCCCCGCGCGCGAGGGAGAGGCGCGGTGGAGAGCGCAGGCGGGGGGGGGCGGGCGGCGCGCCGAGGGGCGACCACGGGGGGGGCAGCGCAGGGGGGGGGGGGGGCATCGGCCTGGGATCGGCGATGCATCGATGGAGCATCACACGCTGTTTGTGGCTGCCGGCGGCAATAAAAACATCACTCGGGGTAACAGAAAGAGCGAGGTACGAGTGATGACGTTGTGTTTTGGGCGAAGCCCCAACGGGGGAGTGCAGAGGAGGGGGTAGGGGGAGGGAATGAATGTTAATGGCCGTTTTCGGGTTTTCCCTATGGTTTTTAAATATTTTTCGGGTTCTCCCATTTTCCGTCCCAGAAGGGCCCTAGACGGCCCAAGAGGCCCCAAGGATCGGCCCAAGAGGCTTCCAAGACGCCCCGAGAAGCGTCCAAGAGGCGCCCCAGCAGGCCCCCAAGAGGCCAAAATCATCGATTTCCCATGGGAAAACGTACATTTTTAGCATATACGGCTTTTCGGCTTTCACTGCGTTGACGGCGGCCCAAAGGAGGCCCAAAAGACCGCCCCACGACGGCCCAAGAGGATCCCAAGAGGCCCCCAAAACGGCCCAAGAGGGCCCCAAGACGGCACAAGAGGCGCCCAAGACGGCCCAAGAGGGCCCCAAGACGTCCCCAAGAGGGGGACCACGAACCGAAAAGTCTAGCATTGCGCCCCAAGATGCTCCCAGGAGACCCCCAAAAGCCCCCCAAGAAGCCCCAAGAGGCCCCCAAGAGGCGTCCCAAGAGCCACCAAGAGGCCAAAAGCATGGATATCCTATAAGAAAAAGGTCAATGTTTTGCATACACGGCTTTTCGGCTTTCACTGCGTTGAAGACGCTCCAAGAGGCCCCCCAAACGGCCCAAGAGGGCCCCAAGACGGTCCAAGAGGCGCCCAAGACGGCCCGAGAGGGCCCCAAGACGGCCCCAAGAGGGGGACCACGAACCGAAAAGTCTAGCCTTTCGCCCCAAGAAGCTCCCAGGAGGCCCCAAGAGCCCCCCAAGAAGCCCCAAGAGGCCCCCAAGAGGTTCCCAAGAGGCCTCCAAAAGGGTTCCAAAAGAGACCCAATAGGACTCCCAAGAAGGCCCAGAGACGCCAAAGAGAGAGCGATCGGTAACGCAAAAAGCTCTTCACACCAAGGCTCCCAAGAGCGAACGGTGACGTAAACAAGCTGATAAGACCAAGGCTCCCAGCAGAGAGCGGTGACGTAACAAGTTCCTGACACCAAGGCCCAGCCAAGGCACAGGAACGGGCGGCAACGCAACAATCTCTGAACACCAAGGCTCCCAAGAGCGAGGGGTGACGTAACAAGCTCTCAACGCCAAGGCTCCCGGTACGAACGGTGGTGTGAATACTTTCGGCTTCTGTTTCTGAAACGCTCTTTCCGTTTCTGTGCCGGGCCAGGTAACGGAAAGAGCGAGGTACGAGTGATGACGTTCTGGTGTGGGGCCAAGCCCTTAAGGGGGGGTTCCAGGGGGGGGCGTAGGGGGAGTGAATGGGTTTAATGGCCGTTTTCGGGTTTTCCCTCGGTTTTTGCGTGTTTTTCGGGTTCCCCCTCAAAACGGTCCAAGAGCGCTCCAGGAGAGCCCAAGACCGACCAAGACGGCCCAGGAGGCCCCCAAGAGGCGCCCAAGGGGCGCCCCAAGAGGCGCCCCAAGAGGGCCCCAAGAGGCCAAAATCATTGCTTTCCCCGAAGAAAACGCACATGTTTAGCATATACGGCTTTTCGCCTTTCACTGCGTTGGCGACGGCCCCAAAGGTCTTCCCGTTTCTGTGCCGGGCCAGGTAACGGAAAGAGCGAGGTACGAGTGATGACGTTGTGTGTTTGGGCGAAGCCCCTTAAGGGGGGGTCCAGGGGGGAGCGTAGGGGGAGTGAATGAGTGTGAATGGCCGTTTTTGGACGTTTCCCTCTGGTGTTTGCATGTTATTCGGGTTTCCCCCCCAAGACGGCCCAAGAGCGCTACAAGAGAGCCCAAGACCGCGCAAGACGGCCCAAGAGGCCCCCAAGAGGCCCCAAAGAGGCGCGTAAGGGGCGTCCGAAGAGGACCCCAAGAGGCCAAAATCATTGATTTCCCAAAGAAAATGCACATGTTTAGCATATACTGCTTTTCGCCTTTCACGGCGTAGAGGACGGCCCAAGAGGCCCCCAAGACCACCCCAAGACGGCCCAAGAGGATCCCAAGAGGCCCCAAAACGGCCCAAGAGGGCCCCCAGACGGCCCAAGAGGCGCCCCAGACGGCCCAAGAGGGCCCCAAGACGGCCCCAAGAGGGGGACCACGAACCGAAAAGTCTAGCATTGCGCCCCAAGACGCTCCCAGGAGGCCCCCAAAAGCCCCCCAAGAAGCCCCAAGAGGCCCCCAAGAGGCGTCCCAAGAGGCCACCAGGAGGCCAAAATCATTGATTTCCGATGGGACACAAATATTTTTAGCATACAAGGATTTTCGGCTTTCACGGCGTTGAAGACGGTCCAAGAAGCCCCAAAGACCGCCCCAAGCCGGCCCAAGAGGCTCCCAAGAGGCCCCCAAAACGGCCCAAGAGGGCGCCAAGACGGCCCAAGAAGTGCCCAAGACGGCCCGAGAGGGCTCCAAGACGGCCCCGAGAGGGGGACCACGAACCGAAAAGTCGAGCCTTTCGCCCCAAGAAGCTCCCAGGAGGTCCCCAGAGCCCCCTAAGAAGCCCCAAGAGGTCCCCAAGAGGTTCCCAAGAAGCCTCCAAAAGGACCCGAAAAGGGTCCCAATAGGACCCCCAAGAAGGCCCAGAGACGCCAAATAGAGAGCGATCGCTAACGAAAAAAGCTCTTCACACCAAGGCTCCCAAGAGCGAACGGTAACGTAAACAAGCTGATAAGACCAAGGCTCCCAGCAGAGAGCGGTGACGTAACAAGTTCCTGACACCAAGGCCCAGCCAAGGCTCAGGAACGGGCGGCAACGCAACCATCTCTGAACACCAAGGCTCCCAAGAGCGAGGGGTGACGCAACAAGCTCTCAACGCCAAGGCTCCCGGTACGAACGGTGGTGTGAAAACTTTCGGCTTCTGTTTCTGAAACGCTCTTTCCGTTTCTGTGCCGGGCCAGGTAACGGAAAGAGCGAGGTACGAGCGATGACGTTCTGGTGTGGGGCCAAGCCCTTAAGGGGGGGTTCCAGGGGGGGGTAGACCGGCCGTTTGCGGTGTAATGGCCGTTTGGGGGGTTTTCCCTCGGGTTTTTGCATGTTTGTCGGAGTCCCCCTCAAAACGACCCAAGAGCGCTCCAAGAGAGCCCAAGACCGCCCAAGACGGCCCAGGAGGTCCCCAAGAGGCCCCCAAGAGGAGCCCAAGGAGCGTCCCAAGAGGGCCCCAAGAGGCCAAAATCATCGACTACCCATAGGAAAATGTATATTGATAGTATCTATTTTTTCGCTTTTCACGGCGTTGACGACGGCCCAAGAGGCCCCCAAGACCGCCCCAAGACGGCCACAGAGGCTTCCAAGAGGCCCCCAAAGCAGCCCAAGAGGGCCCCCAGACGGCCCAAGAGGCGCCCCAGACGGCCCAAGAGGGCCCCAAGACGGCCCCACGAGGGGGACCACGTATCGAAAAGTCCAGCCTATCGCCCCAAGACGCTCCCGGGAGGCCCCCAAAGCCCCCCAAGAAGCTCCAAGAGGCCCCCGAGAGGCGTCCCACGAGGCCATCAGGAGGCCAAAATCATCGACATTCGATGGGAAAAAATATATGTTACACGGCTTTGTGGATTTCACGGCGTTGGAGAGGCTCCCCAGAGGCCCCCAAAGCGGCCAAA